GTCTTTTTGAGACAGGGTCTCCCTGTAGCACCAGCTGGCCTGGAACTCACTATGTAAACTAGGCTGGCCTTAAACTCACAGAGCTCTGCCTCTGCCTCCCAAGTGCTGAGACTAAAGGTGTGCACCACCACACCTGGCTTTGTATGACTGCATTTGTGTATATGTGCACCTTATGTGTGCAATGCTCTCAGAGGCCAGAAGAAGGTGTTGGGTCCCCTGGACCTGGAGCTACTGATGATTGTTAGCTACCATGTGGGTGCAGGGAGCCCAGATCCTCTGCAAGAGCAGGAAGTGCTCTTAACTGCTGAGCCATCTGTCTAGCCCCTGTGTTTTTTTTTGTTTGTTTGTTTTTTTTTTTTTTGAGTCTTGCTCTGTGGCCCAGGTTGGCCTCAAACTCACAATCATCCTGCCCTAGATTTCTGGGTGCTGGGGTTACATGCATGGACCAGCATACTGGGCACAATCTGTTTTATTCATTCAGCAGTTGCTCCATTCACCCTGGCCAGATGCTGGAGACACAGGGATGAAGGCAGCAGGGATGGAGCCTCCCAAACTAGTTGTAGGGAAAGGGTTAGATTTGGGCAGTAAAAAACAGCCACCGATCACTCCAAGGGTAACATGAGGGCTGAGAATACAATTGAACCCAGTGCCATGGTGAGGACCACCACCAGGACAACCATCACCACTATCTATGCCTAAGTGTTTCATCACATAAACTGATCACAGTGCCCATGAAAGTGGTAGCTCCCTACTCCCCAGCCGCAGGTAATGACCAGTGTATGTTCTGTCTCTAGATTTGCCTATTCTGAATATTTCTTGTAAACCATCTAATATGCTATTTCCTCTTAGGTCTGTTTTAATTTACTTAGCTTAATGCATTTAGAGTTCATCTGTGTTATAGCATGGATAAGAACTTCCTTTCCAGTGTGCAGATTCATGCCATGTTCTCTGTTCATCCACTGATGGGTGTCTGGCCTCCCAGTCTTCATGAATATGGGTGTGCTAGTATCTGTTCTACTTTCTGATTTTAAGTCTCTGGGGTCTGTACTGAGGAGTGGAATTGATGGGTCCTGTGGTTCAACCCTTTGAGGAGGAACTGCCCTCCGGACTCCACAGTGTTTGCATCCGTTTATACACCTATCAGCAATGTAAATGGTTCTGGTTCTCCACATCTTTGCAAATGCTTACTTTCTGATAGATAGTTGATAGATAGATAGATAGATAGATAGATAGATAGATAGATGATAGATGATTGATTGATTGATTGATTGATTGGAGACAGGATCATGCTCTGTATTCCAGGCTGGCCTTGAACTCACAATGATCTTGCTGCCTCAGCCTCCTGAGTCCTGGGATTACAAGAGTGTGCCACCCTGTCCAGCAGATGTTTTTTTGGGCTTTTGTGTGTTTTCTTGATATAGCTTCTTAATGAGTATGAACTAGTATGCTATGTTTTTGCATTTCTCTAATGACTAATGATGTTGAACCCATTTTTGTTTTTGTTTTTTGAGACAAGTTCTTACTATATAGTCATGGCTTGGAACTCACTGTGTAGACCAGGTTGGCCGTGATCTCACAGAGACGCACCTGCCTTGCCTCTGAGTGCTGGGATTGAAGGTGTGAACCATTGTGCCCAACCTTGTTGAACTTATTTTCATGTGCATGTTAGCCATCTGGGGAAATGTCTATTCAAGTCCTCTGCCCATCGTTTTTTATGTGTTCGGTTGATTGGGTTTTTAAAAAATATATTTTATTTATTTTTATTTTATGTGTATGCGTGTATTGCCTGCATGTAGGTAAGTACACTTGTCGTGTAATGTCCACAGAGGACAGAAGAGGCTGTTGGATCCCCTGGAACTGGAGTTACGGAAAGTTGTTAGCTGCCATGTGGGTGCTGGGATTCGAACCCGGGTCTTCTGCAAGAACTGCCAGTGTTCTTAACCACTGAGCCATCTCTCCAGCCCTGGTTGATTGGTTTTGAGACAGGGTCTTGCTATGTAGCCCAGGCTGGCCTTGGACTCACAGTTCTCAGCCTCATGAACACTGATACTATAGGCATGTGCTGCCACACCCAGGCCTCTGCCTGGACCATCCCTGTTGGTAAGCTGCATATTTTCTGGCTATTAGGCCACTATTAAATATATTATTTACAAGTAGTTTCTAGTCT